TTTCTTCCCAAACTTGGAATTTCAATCTGAGGGTTGAGGAGTGTGTAGAAAAGGAAACACAGAGAGGGAAACAATAGCAACAACAGAAAACAAGAAACAAAGAAAAAGAGAAAAAATAATGAAGAGAAAAACTTTTAAATGATACTGAAAAAAATTAATATTCAAAAAATTTCAATAAAACCCATAAAATTAGAAAACCGCGATTGCAGGAGCCATGGAGCTGTCTCTTGCAGAAGGCCTGTTCTGTTCCCTTCTGCCTCTCCTGGGTTGGGAGGGGGAGAGGGAATTATTAACAAGATAAAGGGCTAGGAGGGGCCAATAGGCCCAGAAAGATGCCTCACCTTAAAAAAAAATTCTAAAAAGCAAAAATTAAAAATTAAAGAGGGAGGAGACAGAGAGAGAGAGACAAAGACAGATACAGAGACAGGAGGCCTGAAAGGGATCGTCCTACTATGTGAGTTTTGTATGCTGGAGGCCGAATTATTAGTGGGACCTCTTCATTTCTCCGTTTCCCCCATAATAGCTAGATCGCAGGACCCATGGAGCTGTCTCTTGCAGAAGGCCTGTTCTGTACCCTTCTGCCTCTCCACGCGAGTTTTGTATGCTGGAGGCTGAATTATCAGTGGGACCTCTTCATTTCTCCGTTTCCCCCAAAATGGCTAGATCACAGGAGCCATGGAGCTATCTCTAACCTGATATTTAATCTCTCTTTTGATAAGTGACACTTTCCCAATAATACACTTCATTTCTTTTTATTTTTAAATTTTGAAAAGTTTTTTATTGTAATTTCTGATTTACAGTCATAGTACATCTTTGGAAGAGTTTATACAGAGTATAGTAAATCTGGGATATAAACATATACACTATCTTCAATATTATGTTGAAGATTCATTCTGCTGGCATTTTTGACAGAAGCTAAAGGGCTCAATAACATAGAAGCAGAGAACAGAGAGAAATAGAGTATTTCAATAGCATAGAAAGAGATGCAGAGAGAATAGAAACTGCATGGGGAGGGTGTGATGGAGTTTGGGCGAGACTGATTAACAAACACAAGAGTACATATAAACACGTGAAATAGGTTCTGGAATAGTGTACCACAATAAATAGAGTAAGAAACATTATTTACAATTAAATATGCACTTCCTTTCACTTCATTGTTAAAGGATTTAAGGGAATACATTTTCCTTATCTGTATAAATTTAACCACCTTTAATGAAAGTTAAATGCATACCTAAGAACTTAGTTCACAATAGCTTACCATTTTCTAAGAGCTAGACATAAATTATTAGATCTTATTTCATCTTAGATTAAATAAGGAATATTTGAGTATAAAAGACTAAGTTTTTTTTCCATGTGGTAGTTGGCAAAAAACGAGCTCCTGAAATGAACTAGTTTCTATGGCTGCAGATTGAGTTTCAATCTTTTCTCAGCACTGTCGTTGTCATAAGTCTAGCAGTTCCAGCTAAAAACACAGAAAGTCACGGTACAGATCTGTGAGAGACTGTGTAAGCCATGCAAGGTCATGGTTGGGGCCAGAAGAGAGAAATCAGATGTTATCCTTACTACGCAATAGAACTAGTAGCTACCTTAAATTGGCAGCAATTACTGCTTTCAGAACCAAGACACTGTCATAAAGTACAGGTCTGAAATCTTTATACCTGCATGGCTTTATATAGAACAGTTGATTATTGTAGATTTTTTAATTCTAAAGAAAATTTGTGTGATTTTCAGACCTTTTCATGTAATTAACTTCTAGACGGCTTATCCTATTTTCTTAGCGATGGTTTCCATGGAGATTTAAAAATTGGTATTCACAAGTCCATGTAGGTGAGTTTGTTCCTCAAGGGTCAGTCAGATAACCTAAGGGATGAACTTAGATCTGTACTGAGACTGCACTTGGAACTCAACAATGCCTTGGGCCCTGCTCCTGGGAGGAAAGCACCTTTCATGTTCTGATGTGGTAGCAGCATTGTCTCTGCCCCCAGTGACAGTTGCCTTTGTTTCCTGCTGCACTGCCTTGGCCAGGTGCTGACCCTCGCCAGCAATGAGCGTGTAGCCCTCACTCCTTTCATGAGGCTCCTGTTCGAGATAAGCCACTTGAGAACGGCAACCCCAGCGACTGTATCCAGAGCTGGTATTCTGTATGTGAACCCACAAGATTTGGGCTGGAATCCGTGAGTATTTTCTTTGTCTAATTTCTGTTTGTTTTTGTTTTAATTCTTTTTTTATTATTAGAATAACATATTGGGTTGTTGGAAAAGTCACCACTGTCCATCCCTAAAACTTTCATCTTTCCAAACTGAAATGCTCTATTCATTGAACAATAACTCCCCATTTCTCCCTCCCCCTCCACCCCTGTCCAGCCCCTGGAAACCATCATTCTCCTTTCTGTCTATGAATTTGACTGGTCTAGCTACCTCGTGTAAATGGAATCATACAGTATCTGTCCTTTTGTGATGGGCTTATTTCACTTAGCCTAACATCTTCAAAGTTCATCCACATTATAACATGTGTCATTCCTTTCAAAAGCTGAATAAAATTCCACTGTGTGTATGTACCATGTTTTTTTATGTATTTATCTATGGATAGACACTTGAATAACTGCTTCTGCTTTTTAGCTATTGTAATACTGCAGTGAACGTAGGTGTACAAATATTTTTTGAGACCCTACTTACAGTTCTTTTGAAGTTCTTTACTTCTATCCAGTAGTAGAATTACCAGATCATATGGTAGCTAATTTTTCAGAAGAACCACCACGCTCTTCTCCACAGCGGCTGCACCATTTTACATCCCCACTAACAGTGTATGAGGACTCTAATTTCTCCATATCTTCACAAACACTTGTTATTTTCTACTTATTTATTTTTTTAGGGAGATTTTTGCTACAAGGAGTGTGTACTCTGCAGAGAGACAGAAAGTAAGAAAACAACCCGCAGGGATAATGGCCATGCCACAATGCCTTCTCCTTCATTCTCTTCTCAGAATTTTGGGCACACTCCAGGTCCAGGACTTGAACGATGGTCGGTTATGTGGGGGTCCAGTACCATAATCACTACACCACCTGCTGGCCCCATTTTCTATGTGTTTTATAATAACCATTCTAATGGCTATGAAATTGTATCTCATTGTGGTTTTGGTTTGCATTTTGCTAATTATTAGTGATGTTGAGCATGTTTATTGATCATTCATATGTCTTCTTTGGAAAAATATCTACTTAAGTCTCTTTATTTTAAGAATTTTGTAAAATTTAACTTTATTTATTTATTTATTTATATTTGACCAAAGACAGACAGAGTAAGAGAAAGTGAGAAAGCAAGCCACCAGGTCCAAGACTCAAACCTACTGGCCCATTTAAGTCTTTTGTTTTTTACCTTTTTTAAAAAAGAATTATTTACTTAATTTTATTTAGTTAGTTAGTTATTTAGGTCATGCATGCTCACAAGAGAGAGAGAGAGAGAGAAAGAAAGAAAGCCAGCCAGCCACCAGGTCTGGGATTCAAACCATAGTCATGTGGGAGTCCAGTGCCTTAACCACCATGCCACCTGATGGCTCTCCCTTTGCCTTTTTCCCCCCACCCCCCAAAGATGTTGCCATAGGGCTTTCCAGAGAGACAGTGAGAAGAAAAGTGAGGAATCACTCCCCAGGCATAATGGCCTTGCCGCAATCCCTTCTCCTCCATTCTCTTCCCAGTATTTCTGGATATGCACACACGTGCTCAGCATGAGTTTCAAGCTGCTGGAACTAGGGCTGAAAGCATAGCTGGCCATGTGGGAGTCCAGTGCCTTAACCACTATGCCACCTGCTGTCCCCCTTTTTCCATTTTTAAAAAGCAGGTTATTTTTAGTTGTGAATTTTATTTATTTATTTTTGAGAGAATTTTGCTATAGGGCACATGTGCTTGCCAGAAAGAGAGAGACAGAAGCAAGAAATCACCCCCCAGAGGGGATGGCTACACCACAGTCCTTTCTCCTCTATTCTCTTCTTGGAATTTTGGTCACACACACACACGTGCCTGGTGTGAGTTTTAAGCTGCCAGATCCAAGACTTGAACTTCAGTCAACTACGCAGGAATCTAGTAACATAACCATTATGTCATCTGCTGGTCCTGTGGATTTTTTTTTTTAATTTTGATACAAAAAAAAGCTGAATATTTATGTACTTGTTTAAGCAGATATTAGCAATTTAAGGCTAATTAGGCTAATTTTAAAAATAATTTGTTAGCATTTGAATGCTTTTGTCTTTTTTTTTTCACTAAATAATATCTTGTCCCTATACCTTGCACAAATTATGAGCTCAATAAATATTTAAGTTAATACATAATAGCTTGTATGGGTCACTTTAGATATAAATACATTACTGTCATTTAGTGAGCATATGTTTGTGTGTGTGTGTGTGTGTATTAGGTCGCCAGGAAAGTTATGATATGTTTTTCTGAGTTTTTCTATGTAAAAATGTGTCTTGACTTTCCCAATGACCCAATATTGTGCACATAGAAACTTTCGATTTAGAGCAAGTTCATTGTGTCCACTTGAATACTTTGGAGACGCTCACACATCCTATGCTTCCTGCCAGTGGTCACTTTCACCTGGCATTTCCACTGTGAACTGTAGGACCATCTGGGCTCTGCAGGCGACCTCATGCTTCTATTTCACATACTGCTTGTGGCAGAAATCTTCTTTCTGAGGCCAGCAGATGACGTGGTAATATAGGTGCTGGACTCCCACCTGCCTGATGGCAGTTCAAGTTGCAAACTGGCTTCCTTGTTTTCTCATTTTCCCTTTCTCTCTGTCTCTCACTGGCTAAATAAAAAAGGATAATAATTAAATTAATCATTTAAAGAAAAATAAAGAAATCTTTCCACCTCTCCAGGTATTCTCTCTGTCCGCCCTTCTCGCTCTGCTGTGTGCCCTGGGGAGGCTGTCCTCTGTGGACCTCGCCTATGGGCTTCTTGCCTACTGGCTTTGGTTGATTTGGCCAGTGAGGAGCCTGGCAGGAAGTGAGAGGGAGAGAGGAGTGAGGTCAGGCTGTTTCTTTTCCTGGCTCCCTCCTGCAGGGTCACATCAGGATGGCTTTGTCCCTCAACTGCAGGTCACAACCCCTCTTGAATCTCTGTAATATTCTTTCCTTCCAGGTCTGGTAGCTTATTCTTGGGTTCCTGTAGGCATTGGTGCAAACATCAGTCCTTGGAATTACCTCCATGACATGGCACTCTGCCTTTCAGTCTTTCTATTCCCCACCCAATCCTTTGTAACTACCTCTTTATTGATCTTCCCTATGACCTTAAGTCAAGGGGGAATCTCATTTCTCACCACATAACCTGACTAATATACTTCTCCAGGCCACTCTTCATCTCTGTACTGATTTGCTCACTAGAAGTCTCATTTCTTGGGACCAGCAGACAGTGTTGTGATTATGTCATTGGACTCCCACAGGGCTGACTGTGATGGCCCAAATTCCAGACCTGTTGGCTTGAAACTCATGCCAGGCACATGTGCGTGCCCAAGATCCCAAGAGGAGAATGGAGGAGAAGAGATTGCGGTGTGGCCATCCCCCCTGGGGGGTGATTTATCGCTTTCTGTCTCTCTGTCTCTCTCTCTCTGGTGAGTGTACATGCCCTAAGGCAAAAACCTCTACTCAAAAAAATCCCCCAAAAAACTCACTTCTTAATGGTATACAAAGTAGAGCTGTGTTCAGGCTTTTGTCTTTAGCAAACCTTTATTGGTTTTGGATGGGGGAAAAAAGGAATGATTTTTAAGTTTTTTTTTTTTTTTTTTTTTTGGAGAGCTTTTTGCTATAGAGTACATGCACTCACCAGAAAGACAGAGAGAGACAGAGAGACAGAAAGTGAGAAATCACCACCTGGGGGGAATGGCCATGCCATAATCCCTTCTCCTCCATTCTCCTTTTGGGATCCTGGACACACACGCACATGCACCTGTCGTGAGTTTAAGCCGCTGGGTCCGGGACTTGAACCACAGTCGACTATATGGGAGTTCAGTGACATAGCCATTACGCTAACTGCTGGTCCCATGATTTTTAAGTCTTAAATGGAAAGTTCTTGTGCTACCAACTCCTTTCCCCAGCTAGCATTAGCAGTCTTGCTATCCCCTGGGATGCTTCTATTGGTTGGGGACTAACTCAAGGAGTCTCGCCAAATATCCTTTGGCTCTCTTACAGAGAACATAGGCAACCAGTGCAAATGACAGCATTCTTTTTCTTCAGGGACCTCCTTACCCTTACCAGGCTAGTCTGATTTCAATAGCGTATCTCACAGCTGCTGAGACCTATGAAATTAAACTCAGTCATTGTCATGTGGAGATTTATGCTAACAAAAGCTTGGTCTAAAATCCTATTTAAGAAAGGGTTTTCATTTTTGTTTTCAATGCAATGAGGAGAGAAGGGTATTTTCAACAGGGCCTCTCCATGCCACGGCCCTCCAGCCTCAGCTCCCAGTTAACCAGGATAATAGATGCACACCGCCAAGCCCAGGGGATTAGGCTGGTCTAGGATCCAAACCTGGGCCTGCCATGTGGCTCCAGCATTATGCAGTGGCACACTACAACCTGTGCCATGACTGGATGTTAAATTAAAATACTTTGATATTTTCATTTTCCATTGTCAGAAACTTTCAATGAGCTACAAAATAATTTTTTCACTCCATAATTATTGCATGCTTTACTACCTTACTTTAATGTCATATTATTAATGTGACAGCTTTGCATGTATTAAGACATTTAATTATCAGTTCTGAGATTTCTGTAATTATTATTATTTTTTTTAATTATTTACTTTTTTTTCTAGGGAGATTTTTGCTGTAGGGCACATGTACTCACCAGAGAGACAGAGAGACAGAAAGTGAGAAATCACCCCCTGGGGGAATGGGCACACCACAGCCCTTTCTCCTCCATTCTCCTTTTGGAATCTTAGGCATATACACACACTCTTTTGTGAGTTTTAAACCACCAGGTTCAGGACTCCAACCATGGTCAACTATGTGGGAGTCCAGTGATGTAACTATTATGCCATCTGCTGGTCCCGAGATTGATGTAATTATTAACCCAATTTTCCAAACCAATATCTTATGTCTAAATTTTCCACAATTTTTTATTTCAAAATATTCAAAATTATAGAGAGGTCAAAGGTAGTACAACATTGGACCACAGACCATCTTACT